CACTCCTCATCAGCAGGGTTCGTCTTACAAAAGTCCTCTAATGGGTTATTAAAGTCCTCTAATGGGTTATTAAGCTCAAGAAGAAGAAGAAACAAGAAGAAGAGAGAAGAAGGAAATGATTTTCATTCATTCATCGAACCATTACAAAAGAGGAGAAAACTAATATAAATAGTAAGGAAGAAAAATTACAATTTGTTATTCTGTACAACTAATGAACATATGACATTTGTAAAATTCTAACAAACTCTAATCTACAATATTACACCCTAATACTCTCCCTCAAAGTGGCTTGTAAATGTCCTTTACAGCCATCTTAGACATCAAAGAAAAAAGTTGAGGAGATGGGAGAGGTTTAATAAACATGTCAGCCAATTGGTATTGAGATCTAATGGGAAACAATTTGAGAACTCCCGAAGTAACTCTGTCACGAACAAAATGACAATCTATCTTGTTTAGTTCGTTTATGAAAGATTGGATTAGAGGCAATATGTATTGCAGCTTCATTGTCACAATATAGCAAAGCAAGAGAATCAACCTTGACTTGAAAGTCATTAAGAAGGTGCTGCAACCAAATGAGCTCATTGGCAGTAGAAGAAAGAGCTCTATATTCAGCTTCAGCTAAGGATCAAGAGATGGTAGTCTACTTTTTGGCCTTCCAAGAGACTAAAGAGTCACCAATAAAGATACAAAAACCTGTAATAAAGCGTCGAGAATAAAGGCATGATCCCCGATCAACATCAGAGAAGACTCTCAGCGGCAAGGAAGAAGTAGAAGAAAACAACAATCTTTGACCAGGACTTTGCTTGAGATAACGAAGCAAATGATGCACTGCCTTGAGATAAGGTAGTCGAAGTTGAGCCAAGAATGAAGTGAGCTTGTGAACTGCAAAAGTAATATTTGGGCGAGATAAAGTAAGATAAAGAAGTTTCCTAACAAGTCACCGATAGTTGGTTATATCAGGAAGCAGTTCACCTTCAGTGGCAGTTAAACAAAGTTTTGGATCCATTGGAACAGCAGTGGGCTTACAAGCCAAGTATCCAGCGTCCTCAAGTAATTGTAAGGTGTAATGACGTTGAGAAAACACAATACCTTGCTTGGACTGAGCAATCTCAAGACCAATGAAGTACTTGAGACAACCAAGATCCTTGAGCTTAAACTATGTATGCAGAAACTGTTTGAGCTCATCAATAGCTTGAGGTGAAGGACTAGTAAGGATGATATCATCCACATAAACTAGAAGAGCAACAAAAGAGGATCCATGACCTTTTGTGAAGAGAGTAATCAGATTTTGACTGCAGAATGCCAAACTTGAGCACAACTTGAGAAAATTTTGAATACCATTGTCTCGAAGCTTGCTTGAGACCATAAATGGACTTGTGAAGTTTGCACACTAGTTTGCTTGGAGATGGAGAGGACTCCCCCTGTCGAAGATAGCCGAGAGGGAGATCCATATAGATGTCCTCAAAAAGATCGCCATTTAAAAAAGCGTTGTTGACATCAAGTTGAGCTAGATGCCAATTATGTGAGGCAGCAAGGGCAAGAAGAACATTCACAGTCACTAATTTTGCCACTAGAGAAAAGGATTCAACAAAGTCCAAACCTTCTTGTTGTGTATATCCTTTGGCTACCAAACGAGCCTTATGTCGCTCAATAGATCCATCCGATTTAAGCTTGATCTTGTAAATCCATTTGTAGCCAATGGTATGCTTTTCAGGAGGAAGAGAAGTGACTGTCCAGGTGTTGTTTACTTCCATAGCTTTCAACTCTTCATGCATAGCCAATCTCCATTCAGGAAACATCACTGCTTGGTGATAGTATTGAGGCTCAACCTGAGAGGATACACTGAGCACAAGCTGTTTGTGTGAATTAGAAAGACCATGATAAGATATGTAGTTAGAGATTGGATAAGATGTGGAAGTTGAAGTATGAGTAGGAGAGCCAGCAAGTAAATTGCAGTGATAATCCTTCAAGTAATTAGGTGGATGAATTACTCTGGTAGATTTTTGAAGAACAACATCACTAGATGTAGAAGGACCAATTGCTGGAATATCATCTACTAGAGTAGGAGCTGCTAAAGTAGAAACAACAGCACAGGGAGAAACAATTGGACCCGATGAAGAAACATTGGGAAAATTAGTATCAGAACAATCAATGGGAAGATCAGCTGGAACATCAGAAATAACAAGTGAATCATGAACATGTAAAGAAGCAAAATCTGAAATAAAATGAGCTTGTAATGAAGAATGTGGCAGAACCAAATCTAGAAATGGATCAGTAACTTGATCTGAACTAGTAATAGCATGAAAAGGAAACACTGTATCTCGTGAAAGAAAAACTTGTTTAGTCTCCACATCATAGAATTTATAACCTTCACACCAGCTGGATAACCAAGGAAAACACAAACTCGAGCACGAGGTTGGAACTTGGTTCGATGATAAACTAATGTGGAAACAAATGCTAAACAACCAAAAGCTCGAAAATGAGTGTAATCAGGGGTTGTTTTGTTTAACAAATGAAAATGTGTGTTGTGCCTCAAAAGTGGAGAAGGAGTTCTGTTAATCAAGAAAATCGCAGTAAGAACACAATCCGTCCAAAAAGAAACTGGAATCCTGGATTGAAAAACCAATGACCGAGCCACATTCAAGAGGTGTTGATGTTTTCGCTCCACAACTGAGTTTTGTTGGGGCCTATCAACACATGAAAACTGATGCAAAACTCTCTTATCTTGGAAAAACTCAGCAAAAGATAATTCATGTGCATAATCAGATCGAAACATCTTTTGGCATTAAACTGAGTTGAAACCATGTTGAAAAACTTCGGTACCACAGAGACATCATCAAATTTATTCCTCAACAAATAAACCCAAGTAAAATGAGTGCAATCATCAACAAGAGTCAAGAAAAATCGATGACCAATATAAGAAACAGTTTGATATGACCCCCAAATATCACAATGCACAAGATCAAAAAGAGATTTGGACAAATGATTATTGGATTCAAAGGACAACCTTCTTTGCTTAGCAAGAGGACAAATATAACAAGGATCCGACTTATGTAATCTAGTTACATCACATTTCAACTGATCTTTCAAAGAATCAAGTCTCTTAAAGGAAATGTGTCCTAGCCTATTATGCCAAATATGAGCAGAAACATTATTGACAAAAGCATTGGAAATAGAATTCAAACACTGAACATTAAGAACATAGAGATCTTCGACTTTGTCACCCTTGCCAATCATCCTCTTGGTTGAAAGATCCTGGATAACAAAGCAATCAGGAAGGAAACGCACTGTAAGGCCAGACCCAGTAACTAAAGCACTGACTGAGATCAAGTTGAATTTGAATTGAGGAACAAACAATACATCTTTAAGCACAAGGTCAGAATTCAGTTTAACATCACCAGCAAAATGGACCAAAATTTGAGAATGATTTGGCAAAGTAACTGTTGTGTGATGAATAGAATACAAAGAAACAAAGGCATTGGCTTGTGAACAAATATGTCGAGTAGCTCCTGAGTCTACAACTCAGAACTGATTGGATGAAATTGGAGGACTCAAAGACACAGAGAAGCAAATACCTATGAGGCAGTTGGTTTGAGAAGGATCAAGAGTATTGGTGACCTTTGTTGAGTTACTCAAATGTGTAGAAAGCATGGACATTAGTTGTTGATATTGATAGGAGTTCAGATTCTAAACAAAACCTCCAAACGAATTAGACTGATCTGTTCTATCATCAGAAGTAGAAACTTGATGAGCAGCAGCATTAGAATTGTTGTTTGGATCTGAATTTATATTCAGGAGGATATCCATGGATCTTGTAGCAACGATCCATAGTATGTCCAAGAATCTTGCAATGTATGCAATAAGGCCTGTCTCTTTTTCTGATTCTTAAAAGCACTGAAAGTGAAATTTTGAGAACCAGATCCATCAGATTTAACAACATCTGTTTTCACAGCAAAGGCCAGTGTGCTAGTAGAATTGCTCGAATCAGAGGAAGAATTAGTCCTCCTTTGTTGTTCCTCTTGAACAATCAAAGAGAAAACACGATTAATGGAAGACATCGGATCCATGAAAAGCAACTGACCACGAACTTGAGAGAAAGAATCATCAAGTCCCATTAAGAAGGACATTATGTACTCCATTTGATTATGATTGTTAAGATTTATAACTCCACCACAAGAACACTTTCCACAATAACAATTAGGTCGGTAATTACTCAGTTCTTCCCATATAGTTTTCAGCTTTGTGAAGTAAATGCTAACAGAACTCTGTTCTTGATGCAAATTCATCAATTCACGTTTAAGATGAAAAATTCTAGGTCCGTTCCTCTGCTGAAAATGATCCCTAAGATCTAGCCAAATCTCACGTGTAGAAGCAACAAAAATAATACTGGCAGAAATTTCCCTTAGAAACCGAATTCAAGATCCAAGATATAACAATATTATTATTGTGAATTTAGGAGTTGAACAGATTATCATCAGTACATTGTGGCTCAGGAATGGAACCATCAACAAATCCCAATTTGTTCTTCATAGATAGGGCAATTAACATCGCGCGACTCCAATTGGTATAATTCTCACCAGTGAGCAGTTGCGAGACGAGCACTTGCCCAGGACTATCAGAATGATGAAGATAGTAAGGATTTGAAGGTTCTTCAATGATGGAATGATTCGAATTGGTACGCTCTCTAGAATTGGAATCACTCATCGAGGGAAGAGTCACCATATCGAAGAGAACAAGAACAATCAATGAAGGAAGAAGAAAACAAGCAAATTTGCAGCGGATCAAATCTGCTTTGATACCATATTAAGCTCGAGAAGAAGAAGAAACAAGAAGAAGAGAGAAGAAGGAAATGATTTTCATTCATTCATCGAACCATTACAAAAGAGGAGAAAACTAATATAAATAGCAAAGAAGAAAAATTACAATTTGTTACTCTGTACAACCAATGAACAAATGACATCTGTACAAGTCTAACAAACTCTAATCTACAATATTACACCCTAATATGGGTCTCCGCTCCCTTGCACAGGCATGTCTGGCCACTTGCTTGCCACCAGATGTGCCAAATCAACCACCTGTTGGCTGCAATTGAAAAACACATGAACATGAGATACAGTTGCATTCTCCCATGAACAATTTATTGGCTTCAAATATTAATCCCCAAAGCATTGTTTATGTTGAGCTCAACTTCAAGCCAATGAATTTTTTCACTAGACTATAAAAGGTATATATGTACCTGTATCCCCAATCATTATCGTACCAGGCCACCACCTTGACCATGTCATCTCCCATGACCATCGACAAAGAGAAGTCAATGGTGGAAGAAACATTAGTGCACCGAAAGTCTATTGACACGAGAGAGATGTCACATACGTCCAATATGCCTTTCAAAGGTCCTTCAGCTGCCTTTCTAAAGGCTGTATTCACATCTTCAGCTGTTATTCCTTTCTTCTCAACGTTCACAACAAGATCAACAACAGATACGTTGGGTGTGGGCACTTGGAGGGCAATGCCATTGAGTTTGCCCTTTAGTTGTGGTAGCACCAGAGACACATCCTTGGCTGCACCTGTGCTTGTTGGGACTATGTTCAATGTTGCAGCTCTTGCTCGCCTCAAGTCCAGGTGTGAAGCATCTAAAAGCCTCTGCACGCAGCATAATCAACAACATATTCTGTTTGAGCTAAAACAATGTAATTTTCTCTAAAGATTTTTCACTATAACCTAGGACAATGTGTTGTTAGAGCCTATGAAACTATGGTATTTGAATTGTATAATCAGCTAGGAGTGTCAAATGTGTCGGGTTAAATGATTACATGTCGAGTTAAACAGGTGACAAGTGAAAAATGTATAAACACATACACGACACGTTTAATAAACAGATAAAAACTCTCAACATAAACACGACCCGTTTAATAAACGCGTAACACAACACCACTCGTTTAACACGTTTAATTTTAAAAAAATTAAATTAACAAATTTTAATACTCCACTTTTTTTATTGTCAATTGCACTTACCTCAAAAAAGAAAAATTTTTAACCAAATCTCATATCTCATAAAAATAAGACTTGAAGGCTTAAAAAAAATAAACAAGAGATCATTGTTTTTTATAGGCAACTCGATCCTTCTCATCTCTTCTCATTTTTCAATGTGCGACAAAAACAAAAAGCATTGGTTTGCCTTTGTTTTTGAACGACTACTTTATTTCTTTTTTTTTCCTTTTTTTTGGCTAATTTTTTAAAATAATTATTAACTTATTATTATATTAATTTTATTTAAACGGATAAACGTGTCATAAACAATTTGTCAGATTTCATCCGAACATGACCCGTTTATTAAACGTGTTTGGCGTATCAATCCGTTTATCACTTAAATCTGTTTAATTCGTATTAATTAATCGGGTCATGTCAAATTTTAAGAGCCTTATAACCAGTTTGACCAACAAAAAACAAATACCCACGGTGGACATTTTTTTTCTACGTTCAGTTTACAAGTACCCGGTCCCCAGTGTACGAATGAGTGGCTGTCATTGTTCCCTTGACAATACCTGTAATTGAACGAGGGAGACATCACTGAGTACAGTGTTCCCAATTACTATCGGTTGACATCAATTATATGCTAAAATCCGATTAAAGTCACAGCCCGCTGGACCTTGCTATATCCACTGGCCATTATTTTGTTATTATAATGCTTTAAAAACTGGGTATAAAAACTGATGCTCACCAAACTCCTCATCTATGACCTTCACAAAAGGAGCCAAACAATTTGTGGTACAGGAGGCATTGCTGCAATGCCAGAATCACAACAAATTTTGTTAGATTAATGCGTAAGATTAGGATTCCATAAAGAAACTCACCTTACAATGTTAGAAACTTCATGATCGTAATCCTGTGCATTTACACCTATCAGCACCTTTTGCTGGAGCAGTGAAGATGACTTTCTTGGCGCCAGCCTGGGTNTTAATGCGTAAGATTAGGATTCCATAAAGAAACTCACCTTACAATGTTAGAAACTTGATGATCGTAATCCTGTGCATTTACACCTACAACATAGGTTGGAATATCAGCACCTTTTGCTGGAGCAGTGATGATGACTTTCTTGGCGCCAGCCTGGATNAAACAATTTGTCAGATTTCATCCGAACATGACCCGTTTATTAAACGTGTTTGGCGTATCAATCCGTTTATCACTTAAATCTGTTTAATTCGTATTAATTAATCGGGTCATGTCAAATTTTAAGAGCCTTATAACCAGTTTGACCAACAAAAAACAAATACCCACGGTGGACATTTTTTTTCTACGTTCAGTTTACAAGTACCCGGTCCCCAGTGTACGAATGAGTGGCTGTCATTGTTCCCTTGACAATACCTGTAATTGAACGAGGGAGACATCACTGAGTACAGTGTTCCCAATTACTATCGGTTGACATCAATTATATGCTAAAATCCGATTAAAGTCACAGCCCGCTGGACCTTGCTATATCCACTGGCCATTATTTTGTTATTATAATGCTTTAAAAACTGGGTATAAAAACTGATGCTCACCAAACTCCTCATCTATGACCTTCACAAAAGGAGCCAAACAATTTGTGGTACAGGAGGCATTGCTGCAATGCCAGAATCACAACAAATTTTGTTAGATTAATGCGTAAGATTAGGATTCCATAAAGAAACTCACCTTACAATGTTAGAAACTTCATGATCGTAATCCTGTGCATTTACACCTATCAGCACCTTTTGCTGGAGCAGTGAAGATGACTTTCTTGGCGCCAGCCTGGGTGTGCTTCCCAGCACCTGGCCCATCCACAAACACACCTGTTCCCTACAGTCACAAGATTCAATTAGTTTAGGCCTATCTCAGAATTTCAGCATGTCAAGACCAAAAGTAATATTCGTAATAATTATTCAGCCAGTTTTCCCCTCATTTCTGCAATTTGGCTGATTCTATCAGGATGTCCAGATCAGGTTACTGAGAAGAGACACATGTTAAACAGTAAAACAATGTGTAAAAGGACATAGATGAATATTAAGCGCCAATTCCAGAATTATGCAACACAGCTTCAGTAGAATTGCACATAAAAGCATCAAACGTGATGTTGTGCAGCTTCCCAAAAGTATTGTGCAAGATAGCCTAATTCCTTAAGATAAAGAGACATACAACTGATCAGTTCTGTTTAACGATTTGTATACATTTCTAAGAGATACTGGTTATCTAGTGTTTAGTAACGTAAAAGCACAGATAGGTTCTGACTTATGAGAACAAATTGAACAGAATAGAAGGGATCTTAAAGTTTGAGATTGGGANATCAGTTCTGTTTAACGATTTGTATACATTTCTAAGAGATACTGGTTATCTAGTGTTTAGTAACATAAAAGCACAGATAGGTTCTGACTTATGAGAACAAATTGAACAGAATAGAAGGGATCTTAAAGTTTGAGATTGGGAATAAGAACTTTACCTCAATAAAAATGTCAATGCCAAGGTCGGCCCATGGAAGCTTTAGAGGATCCCTATTAGAGACAACCTTGATGGGCTTGCCATCAACACTGATAGTCTTATTGTCTACTACTTTGACTTCTGCCTTGAAAGTGCCCAGCATGGAATCATACTTCAGCAAGTGAGAAGGCTGTACTTGCAATTCAAGGTAATTAATCCATAATCAAGTAGAACTATACTTTCCAATTAACGAGATGAGTTCTGAAAATTATGGCTATAGGCCACTACAGGGAATTACACAGATTTACTCACATCCTTCTACACCTCCACTGTCATTGACGACGACAACTTCAAGTGGTGAGTCCTTGCGACTATGCCAACATCGGAGGAAGTTCCTGCCAATTCGTCCAAAACCATTGATTGCTACCTTCAACTTGGCCACTGTTTCTCCCTTAGCAGGAGTTGATCCTGCAGTCTAATTTTAAGACAGAAGAACTTATTATAGTCCCTCCATGTAACGAATATGTTTGCATCAAGGTTACCATTTCTGCTTTCACAACATTCATCACTTCAAATTAAAACATCTCACCAATCACTTTTCTGTTTATGTTGATCTTATGTTGGAAGTTCTAAAACTCAAGGTCCTCCACTTCTTCTATAAACATATATGGTCCATAACATCATAAATCATGGGTTTTGAAAACTTAAAATTACCTTTTGTATTTTTGGTCTTCATATATATATATATATATATAAGTTTGGATAACCAGATTATCACCAATAAACTCAACTCAGCCTTCATCCCAACAAGCTCATCAAATTAAATACCTTTAGACTTCTTTGATTCCATACTGAATTTCCCCAACTCCCAACCCCAACACAGATTTCCTAATATTTCCACCATTTTTTTTTTTGGCCAAGAGTCTGTTTTCGACATCATAAGGATGAATTTCAAGTCAATCTAATCACTGAAACGCCATATCAAAAATTTACATTGTATTTTTCCTTTGGTTGGTCCAAAATTTACTGTGGCTAATATGCCCTCAGATTATTTGTGAATTTTCAGCAAATAATGAGAACAATGGTTAAAATATATGAAGATACCACGGGAGTAAGTTGTGCAGCAACTGCATCAAAGAAGGATGTGTCCCTAGCATTATTGGCGACAGTCACACATGAACTGGATCGAAGCCCAGAGAACTCAGCTACTTCCAATCTGTAACACTCAAAAAGAACTCAGTTAGAAAGGAACAAAACCACTTGCTATTGTATAAGCTTGCATAATTTACAGAGAGAAATTTGAGTACCTTAGAGGAGCCCTGAGTGGGGAAAGAATGGGAGGTCTTAGAGGGAACCCTTGCCCTAGTTGGGATTCTTGAAGAAGCCAGAGCTGCATGGGTGGCCATGGCTGCAACTAAAACTATGATGAGAACAACTTCCTCACAATTTATACTTTCAAATTTGTTTTTCCAGTTGCTATTACAAATATGTATCCATGTCAAATTTGTGAATAAAGCTACGGTTCGAATTGAGTAATATGAGCGTGTGGTATATGAAAACAAGAGATACGATCATGTTTTGGCTTGCAACTTTAAAATCTGAACCACAGATTTTTGAGCAATCCGTTGTATTCCTTGCATGTCTCTGTATATCTTTTTCATGTTACCAACATGTTATATACCACAGTTGGATGGAACATATTCATATCGTCTCATTCAAAAAGTCTAAACCATCAGATTTTAACTTGGAATTCTTTTGGATGATGGGAAATCAAGGTTGATGGTGTAGAACTTCTGAAATATTAACTCTGTCAGTTTTAGGTTAGAACAAACAATACAGTACAGCCAATATTAGAAACCTTGGTCTGCCTTTTCTTCAGGTCAAAATATAAATGAAGTTGCAAACGGCATTCACCCAGATGCAGTTTTGGCGCCATTGTCCAGCCCCAATTTGAAGTGTTGGGTGGGAAATTGATACTCATAGCAACCTAAGCTTTTGAGGATATTCCGTTCCATGTCCTCCGTTTTTCTTTCTTAAAATCTTCCCAATCACGTGTTATTTGGAATAAATTATATGCACAAAACTACTAGCTAATCATGTACATTGATCAATCATGGGTGTTATGCCGCAGGGAGACTCGAACTCAAGACTTAAACCTCGCCCCTCTCTGTTCGACCACTGCACCAAGTTGGGGAAAAACTCAGCTGGAAAAAACTAAGCATACCTAGACAACAATAAGGTAAATCAGAATGACTAGGGCTATCAGCAATGGCTCGTGTACCAGTCGATCTTGCAAAAACAGAAGTAAAGAACTATCTTCAAATGGATGGAAGACTTGACAAAGGCAACCAGTTAACGAAGCAATAAGAAGAGAAATGTGTCCAGGCCATTCACAGAGGCCGCACATCAGCACCGTGTTAGCACAATATCTAAGTAAATCATCAACCAAAAAGCACATCATGATAGAAACAAGGATAGCGTGTACAGCCTTTCTCCTCAATAGTGACAATCCAAAAGTTTGCTCCATTATATTGAAGGTAGTGGTAAACTGCTAGTTTCCATCTGCATATAGGTGTGTCTTAGGCTGCAAGCCCAAAAGAAATGGCGTTTTCTGCACAAATCCTAGATCAACCTTTTCCCATGCAAAAATAATATTCACAACAAAGCTTTCCATAATACCCAATAAAGTGATTGCTATCCGAGGTCTGTGTAAAAGAAGCCGTTCCATCATACCACTTGTATCAGTGATAAATTGAAGACAAAGAAATCAACTAAGAGTTACTAGCACTCTGGAAATTTAATCAAGGATTAAGTAGAAACATATGAAATCACAATGAGCCAAATGATGTCATCTATAACATGAACCTCCGGGCAACTGCCAAGGCATGATTAGAAAAAAAGGATTCTATAACAACATGAAAAGTATCATTAACAACAAAAAAAATGCATATAGGAATCCTAAATTCACCCATCATCATTATACAGCAGTTATATAATTTGTGTTACCTTCCCCCAAAAAAGAAATCAATAAGTTTCAATGGATCCCACCTTCTGAGTAATGGATCCCTTTTATGCCATGTGTTTACATCCACGGTGAATTCTCAAGCACCCAAATCCATGACTTCCTCATAACTAGGTAACCAACGCTTACATCCAAGCACAAGTCAAACACAAATTGCCTTAAAACATGTAACCACCGAGCATTTCATTAACAACCCCCCCTTCTTCTCTTTACCATGGTTCTAAAGTGATTGAACCATTTACCCATTTGTGTTTACATCTCAAATTTAAGTTCTACAACAGAGGTCTGGTTGTAAAAACCTGCCCAGTTGAAATACCAGTTAAGTACCAGACGATACATAGGCACACAGCTAAAGTAATAACAGCTTTAATCAGCCCAACATTGAGCACTTATTTGAGTTTCATTGAATACGTACTCATGCTAAAAACAGCGGCATTAAA